TTGTATTTTAGGCCCATACGTTTTGTCTATATCGTAAGACCTATACCAGTCGTTTATTTTGAATGAATCCCCAACACTATGTTCTATGCTGTCTTCATTAACGGATGGAGCTTGAAATGTTGATGGATCGAAWCGTTGTTTCAATGGYTCGATAATCGGACTTAATGTTTCCGATACTAATGAATGAATTTCTGCTTTTCCTTGTTTTAATGCTGTATACTTGCGTTTAATATTTTCTTTGGCTTTAACCAGTTCTCCGAGTACATCACCACTGGCAGCCATGACTGTGAATGAAGCATTTCCACAGTAACAACACTTTATATAACGACGAATATGTCGAATCCATGACGATATCGTCCATTGTTGCGTTCACAGTCTTTGTTTATGACGATAAACTCAAATCTCCCCATACGCCAACACGAAGTGCAAAAGTCTTTAAACTCCGAGTATGACATGTCGCCAGAGCAATGCTCATTGTATACATGCTTTAAATTAGTCTCATCTTGTTTGAATAATACAATAAAATTAGCATTATCGCGCAAAAKTTGTTTTGGCACTTTTGAATAACTCTGAGCCAGATAAAAAACATCGACTAAATTATGACGACCTCTGGAGAAGTAAGTTCACGCAATCTTTTGGTTTTCAGTAATAATATCGTCGAAAATAAACACAGAGTTTGGTAAAGCTTTCTCAGGTTCAATAACTTGTTCGTTTTCATAGAATGTAAATAATTTTATACCATCAATATCTGATAATATATCACTTAGCATTTTATATTTAGGTTAATCCAATGTTTTTGAATATATGTATACGTTGTGAAATCTTATTCCATTTATATGCGTTAATATCGTAAATATTAAATTAGTTTTACCACAGCCAGAAGGGCCCACGATAAGTGCACGTATCGTATTAGGTAGAAGCGATCCATGTCTCTGTTTCTTAAACGATGTAGGAGGATCCACGTTTTCAATTGTGAGTTTTTTTCCTTGTTTGATGAACTTCATTATAAATAACTGAGCAACGACGAGAATGTAATCAGTACACAATGTAATTCGCTCGAAGAAGCTCCAAGAATAAGGGTGGTGGGCTTATCATCACGCTTATAAATAAATTACCAATCGAGCTGCACGTGCCTGGTATTTTTTATTTTTTTCTAAACATGATAATATTATATTTTCTAACTATTTTTTTTATTTTAGGATATCAATACTGTGGGCCTGGTACAAATTTAAAAAAACGATTAGCTCGAGG